GGAAAGAGCATCTCTTAATTTTGCTTTAAGTAATTCTTTCCCATGAAAATTTATGTGGTCTTCTTCCTAAGAGTTCTGATAAGGCCATATTTTTCTCTTTTAAGTGAATGTTTACAGTCTCTTGACATTTTTGTCATGTGTGTTCTCTGTTCAAGAAATACAAGATGATAAAATACCAGGTCCCTTAAATCACAGCCTGACATATCTACACTCTCCTCCTTCAGTGCACACAACACAACTTTCTGTGGTGCCACATGAACTTCTCTGAGCCTCTTTCTTCCTGGCTTTGCACAATTCCTCATTCACAGGGAGAGAGTGCTGCACCTTTATGTGGAATCCCATTTCCCCAGCACCTGCACCAGGAGGTCTCCCGTGAGCTTGCAAAGGTGGTCCTCATGCAGTTGACAGTAAGTCCACAGGGGAGCCTTGGGGTTGAAGAGTGTTCCTCACAAATCTGGGATACACAGCCCAGGTCTTCTAATGTGGTCCCTGGACCCAGGGTCTCTGCTTCCATGTACTGACATAGCCCCACTGAGGATCCATGGCCTATTTCCGTCCCCCACCACCTTTTCTCTGAGGATAGCCAACATTAAAGTGGTCTCCAGACTCTGCTCGTGCCCTTGTTCTTTCTCATTTCCTGACTCATTCCTCAGGGACCTTGGTTTGAGTTTCCTTTTGAGTGTGGTTGACCAAATCTAAGCATTCCGGCTGTCTTCTGAACTCCCAGTTAGGTGTTTTCATCTCCGAGGGTCCTGGCATCCTCCTATGCCTTTGTGGTATCTGCCCTCAGGAGATAGCGCTGGCCAGGTCATGGGCAAGGGGCTTCCTGTGTTCCAGATCCCTACACCCGTGCACAGTGACGGGGCAATCACCTCTACTCTGAGCTGCAGGTATCTTCTGGGGGGCACCTTCTGAGACTTTCCCGTGTCATTAAAAAAATTTGCATTCAAAGACAATTACCGTTCTACTTTATCTTTTGTGAATTACCTGCTGAAATCATTTTCCAGCTTTTCTTTTGGAGGGTTTATTCATTTTTTTTTAATTCTCAATAGTCCTTTGCACACAAAAAAGGATATATTCCTTTTAGCTGGCATATGTATTGCAAGCATTGTTCTTAGCTTGTCACTGACTTTCAATTTTGTTTCAGACTTTTGTTAATATACAAAGCATACTTTGACATCATAGTTATTAAGAAGGTATTGTGTATCTTGTGTATCTTTAAGAAATTGATTTTTAAGACTTTGTCATTATTTTTATTCTTTTTTTTTTTTTTTTTTTTTTTTTTTTTTTTTTTTTTTTTTTTTTTTTTTTTTTGTACCAGGGATTGAACTCAGGACCTTGTGCTTGCAAGGCAGGCATGGTGCCACTGAGCTAAATCCCTGGTAGATTTGACTAGAAAGTGTATAGACCCAATTTATATAATTTTCTTCTTTGAGAGATTTATTGAAGCTATACTGTGATCTAGTTTATGAACTTTTCTTTTTGTTTTATTTTTTGAGACAGGGTCTTGCTATATAGTTCAGACTGGCCTTTGAACTCACAGGGATCCTCCTGACTCAGCCTTTCAAGAGCTGGGATTACAGGTGTGCTATGATCTTTTCATAAATCCTTGATCATTTGAACAGAGGTTTCACTCTCTCTGATACATTATTCCTTATATTACATGTATTTTCACCATTTATATTATATATTAATAATATAACATTATACTAATTTTATATGATATATTTATTTATAAATATAGATGTTATCTTTACCTTTTCTGTTTGATTAGTCAGAATCTAAGACATGGGTTAAAGTCTTCAAATACTCTGTTTCTTCACTGTATTTTCCTTATAAGTTTCTTGACTAATGTATTTTTTTAAAAAGCGGTCATTTTGTCCACTTAGTGGATTTTACTTTTCTTATTGGTTGAAGGTCTACTTTGAAGCAGTCACATAATTTTTACAACAACTATTTTCCGTGTACTTGCCTTTCTGTATTATGTTCTTGTTAAACCTATTATTTTTAAGATTATTGAGCCATTCTGTTTTAGGTGTTTATGTTATGGCATACAATTAGACTCTGATTATTTAGACAGTCTGGGGGTTTGTCTCTATTTTAACTCCTTTATATTTATTGTCAAAACAGAATTATTTTTTCTTACTTTTGTCATTTTTTTTATTACACAGTCTGAATATGTCCATGCTATTTCTTTTTAAATGGATTGATTTTATATTGTATTATTTTACTTTACTTTTTTCCTATGGACTTTGATTTTGGTTTCCTTTGAGTTATTAAAAAATATAACTAGACGTGATTCTTTATAGAAAGGCTTTCTGTTGATTTTCCCTTCTGAGGAAGAGGCAGTTACCAGAATTTTATTTTTGCAAGCTTTCTCACATCCTGCGCACTTCTGTTTGTTAATTCTCTCTGAAGGACCCTGCTGTCTTAATAAACCACTCTGCTAGAATGATTGTCAGGCTAGAGCAGCTGCCCCGCTTTGTGTATTTCTCATACCCAATCCCTTCACATAGTTCCCAGGGAGCCACATGTTACTTTACTGATAGATCTTCTACCACCAAGGAAGCTGCCTCTTCACAGCCATTGCCACGGTCTTCAACAGTTTCCTGCTCATTTGTTCTAACTATTAGAGCTCTGAGTCCCACTGACAACACTGAGCTTTGAATCCACAGATCTGGACCACATAAGCCACAAAAAGATTCCACAGGGAAGTTTTCCTGGTGATTTCATCGTGTATCTTGCCATTAATCCGCAGGATTGGCTTAAACCGAGGAGAAAAAGAGTGAGGGAAAAGGTTTGTCTTGAATGCCATCAAGGTGGTAGAGAGATAAAAACTGTTAGTAGGTCGAACCACAACAGTGACACAGATATACGATTATTTTCAACCTACAAAAGGCACCTTCCTAAGGTCCGTCCTCATAGCAGAGCTGGGGCAGACTTAACAAATGCTGCTATTGTTAACTGAGTGTTAAGGCAAAGGAGGTCTCCGGATTGAAGGTAGAATAGTCTCAGATTTATGTGAAAAACCATGAGAATGAAACATCCTGAGCCCAAATAATGGGGAGATCCAAAAAGGGAGAAGTAATGAACACTGACAGTTGTAGAAGAGTGTTCAAACAGTGATAATTACAGTAGACATTTGAGAATATTCTATTGCCCTAATTAGAATATTAACTACTTTAATACAAAAGATTCTGCAGTGAGGTAGACACTGCAATTGTAGACAGAAACAGCCACAGAGCAGTAAGGTATCTTGCCCAAGGTCACACACCAGTAAGTGGCACAGCCACAACTCTAACTCAAGCCTTTTGATCCTGAGCTCAGGTATCACATCATCTGCCTTCTTAAAGCATGATAGAGTAGAAAAAATATTCATTGCTCTCCACACTTAGGATTATTGCTATGTCTGTCATGAAAACAGTTTCGGGAATGTGTTGGAGACAAAAATCCACATTCCTTGGCAGACTGAGGTTTTGTAGGAGGAAGTAAGGTAATGTTGGGAGTGAGTGCTGATTCACCTATTGAGAATTTGAAGTGTGATTGAAACACACCTGGCAGGTAATAGAGAAGAATGTACTACAAAGGGGTATTTTTCAAGAAAAGAAGCCCATGCATTTACATATGTCAAGGTCAAGGATGAAAGAGAGGGTTTGAAGATATAGGATAAAGAGAGAAAACTGAAAGAACCAAGAAGTTAGAAAATGCAGTGGGAAATCGGAGTCAAGAGTACTGGCATTTCCTGCAGAGAAAAGATTGTTGTTGGTGCGGATAAAGACTAGGTGGGGATTTAGCTCAGTGGTGCTGCTACCTGTCTCTCAAGCACAAGGTCCTGAGTTCAATCCCCAGTACCAAAAAGAAAAAAGATTACGTGGGTGAATACCACTTTAGAAATCAGCCCCTTGTCTTCTTTTCTTGCCTCCTGAAGATGTGATGTCTGCTGGAACTAGATGGGTGGATCATGAGAGGGGACACTTGTGTGAGGTACAGTAGTGGAGATGGCAGAATTGCAGTAGGCTCAGCAATGTTGGAATAAAGGTGTAAACGTATCGGGATGAATGCAGAAAATGGTATGGGTGTTAGCCAACAGGCTGGGGGAACTTGGGCTTGTGGAGTATAGGAAAGGTCAAGGTGTGTGGATAGACTCTCGAAGAGCAGAGGTCCAGATACCATATGAGTCCTAGAAGCAGATCAAAGAGAAGTGAGTTGGGATTGGACTGTGGAGTAGGAAATTATACCAAAGTGTGGAAAAGTGGAATTTCCAAGGTTTAGAATAGAAAAAGGTCAGGCTGAGGATACAGCTGTAGCAGGTTGGAGGTGAAGGTACTGATAATTAGGGAGATCAAGGATATTCCCCACAAAGCTATTCATATCCTCTATATGGAGACAGAGGGTGGGAGGGAAACTGCTAATTGAATGATGAAATCTTTAATAAGAAGTGAGGCTGGAGTCAGAGTGAAGAATTGAAAGAACTTATTGAGCTCTGTTCCTGGATACCAACAGGTAGGTTGTTGCTTATTTTTAAAAGGTGTTATTAAGAAACGCAGATTAAGTGTGTTACTTGGGAATGTAGAATCGAATCAGAGTGAATCCCCTTGGCTTACGCTGGTTTCCAAGGTAAGCATCTTTCTCATCCTTCAGAAGCAGGCTGAAGTGGTTCTTCTCCTGTGCCTCAGTTGAAACCACATTGAAAGAAGGGCAAATTGGGGTCCCCAGGCCAGGTTCAGCTTGCTTTTCCTGCGTCTGAGTGTTACTTCTGAAGTCCATTAAAAATGTCCCATGTGGCTGACTTCTGTCACTAGTCGCCAGAGTGTGATCTTTTTGCCTTGTTTTTAAAATCCAAGTCAGCTGTCAGGGCAGTGTGCCATCCTAACATAGGGATTCTTTGGTTGGTTCTAATGGGAAGCTGTAACATAAAAGGAACTGGGGGCTGGGCAGCCACCTAAAATGAATGCCTAAAACAGCTTCTGCAAAATTGACTCCTGCCCTGTGTGTTGCAGGTGATTTTTGAATCCGTCTCTTTGAAAGGTCATCCTGGCTGCATCGCTGTGGACGAGGTCCGGGTCCTTGCTCATCCGTGCAGTAAGTCTGTCCCCTTCCCCCAGCGCAGCCTTGCTCCATGCCAGACTGGATAGCGGGGAGGCTGCACCTCCCCTATTCATTCAGCTCACAACCATCTCTCACTCGCTCTCTCTTTTAATCCTTCAAAAATGCTTACATACCCAATGCAATCAGTCTTGAATAAATCCATAATTTTGCTGGCCTGTTCAACAGGCAACACCTCTAGGAATTTGCAGAGAGTGGCAAAACATCTTCGTTTGAATCTCTCTCCATTATTAAGGGAGTCTAAAGTCCTGATTGTTTATTAGTGGGATTCAGACCACTGAAGTGGAAGAATTAGAGGGCTTTGGATAGAATCTTGTGCAATTGTCTTTAAAAAAGAAATGACACCAAAACACTGAGAAAATTAGAGCACTGTTCACTCACAGGGAAAAGTACCCCAAAGCTATTAATTATTTAAAAAAATAATTTAAAATGTACTCATCAGCTTCCTTTAGGCAGAGAGATTTCTGTTCGTAGTACTTATGGTACCGTGTCAAGAACACTCAGAGGCAGCCCATCCTCCATATCCATCCACTTTCCCTTTGAAATTCCCTCTTTGTCATATTTAGAGACACTTGAATGTGTTTCCTTTTCCTTGCTGAATCAAAGAGAGCAAGTCCTGAGTGAAGGTGATTGTGATGACATCATTTCTAGAGACATTTGTTCCAGGGCTGCTCTGTAATCAGAGCTATATGCATGGGGATTGTGGCAGCTTGCAGAAAGGGTAGCTGGGATGCTAGCCCCAGAGTTTGTCAGTACTCTGCATTTTGGAATTTCTATTGGTTTCTAAGCAGTCATCTCGTTCCACATACCCTAGGAGAACTCTCTCCGCTCTCCTGATAGGACCACGGATTATAGGGTTAGTCGGCTTTTTGTTACTATAAAGAAGTACCAGAGGCAGGTTCAAGGCTGTGGCAGTGCACTTGGCTCAGATCTGGTGACAAGTTTGCTGGCAATGTCCTGGAGCAGTGTATAACATCACATGGAAAGAGACAGGGTGTGCATGTGTGTCTGTGTGGTCTCTGTCTCTCTTCTTATAAAGACAGCAGGATTTCATCATAAGTGCTTCACCCTAATGACCTTATTAAGCCTACTCACTTTCCAGAAATACCACCTCTAAACATCAGAGTTGGAATAAGTGGTCACTCACTTAATGCCAATGACTTTGGAGATTAAACTCTTGCTTAGGTTGAGAGTTCAAACATGCAGTTATGTTGTGGGCTATCGTGGTTTGCTGCTACTTCAAGAGACATCAAATGTACTCTCCTTAGGAGCCTTGTAATCCTTTCATATGGGTGCTGTTCTCCTTTCAGCCCCATCCATCTTGCTTTAGTTGAAATTACTCTTTCCACTTTACTGAAGTGAATTTGTCAGACCTGTGAACACCACATCTTTCCGTCTTCTGTGACTCATTGTCTTTGATACCTTCTCTGGAGGAATTTGAAATAAATTCCAAGTTCCAGACAATGCTTGTATTTTGGAGAGCTTCTTCCCAGAAACTCATCAATATCTCAGGGATACTGAAGTCTCCTAGCTTCTTCAGTATTCTGGCGTAAAGTCCATATTCTCTGGGTTACATCCTGTGCTTTTTAGACTTTCTTGGGTGGGTCCGTCCATTTAGTCGTGACTGTGAAATATCTCTTCTGAACCAGACTTCATATAAACAAGATGCTAGAGCCCCCCTGCAGCTATGCAGGGTTTACATAGTATACATGTACATGAATTCCCCTTATCAGGATTAAATACAGTATCACCCTTCCTGACATCTGTTAGCATCAGCTACCTATTGAAGAGTGATTTTTGACTTAAGAATAGACGACTGTCAGGAGATATCTGCTCTACCTGTGGTCCCTTTAACCATACGCTCATCCCTGCATGGCCCCCAGGTTTAGACAGACTCTTTGAAACAAGTCTCCTGTCTTCATCAGGCCCTGTACACAGTCGTCCTCATGGATCATCTACCTGAGTTCCTCATTCATACCTTTACACTGGAGGCTTGGCTTGGTCTTTCTAGTAGGTGATGCTTGACTCTTCCAAGCAGAATACAACATGACTTTCTCTCCTTGGATCCCGGAACTCTGTGCTCTAGTGGGAATTTTTACCTCTACCATACCACCCAATCTTGTTACTGTGTCTTATCCTATTCTAGTAAAAGCTCTATTTTAGCTTTAAGCACTGTCCATTGTTACCACGGCAGGAAAACACTCCATTCTTTCTGATAAGTCTCCCTGGGAGAGTGTTCTCTGGATGGCATTCGAATGCCTTTCTACCTCCAGTTTTGTGGCTCCTCTGGACTCTTCCTTTCATTGGTGCTCTGTGAATTTAGAATTCTTCTGACAACTGCTTCATCGTCCTGCTGAGGAGACACTCCAGTATGGATTGCATGGTTATAGAATCTCTGAGAGCTAGTTAGCCAGTGAATGGGCCATAAGATGTAATTCACAAAGACATGGCTCTGGCTTTACTCCTACATAATGTGTTTTGCTGAGTTCACCCTCAGTTCTTTGATGGTTTAAGAACAAGTTTTCCAGAAACCACAATGTGGGCTCCCTGCAAGAGTGGCTAGAATTAGAAAAATCCCACTTAATTACATGTGGAAATTTTGGCAGCATATGCAGTTATCTAGTGTGTATTCAGAGCCCACGGATCATGGGGAGTTGAGTAGGGCCGAATAAAAGCCCTTTCCCAAGGAGCAGTGCTCAATCCATACCTAGCCCATGAGTTTTTACATCTTTGCTTTCAACAAGTAGATTATTGAGTGTGTGCTATGTATTCAAGAACAGTTCTGGGCAGTGCTTACTTAGGACAGACAAGTTAGGTCCTTGTGCTCATGTGTTTACTTAGCAAACTGGCAGTAGGAAGAAAGGCACTAATCAAGTAACTCATATTCAATAAGTAGTTCATCATTTCAGATAGTGGTAAGTACTGTGATGATGAAGAAGATGAGTAACTAAGATTGGAGAATTCCTTAGGGAGAGTGGTCAGGGAAGATATCTTTGAAATGGCCTTGAGCTGAGACTGGAATCATAGGAAGGAGCTTTCTGTGAAATAGCTTGGGGACTGGAGTGTCTCAGCCAGAGGAGACAGACCTAAAGGGTCCTGGGTGGGAGTCATTCAGCGCTGTCGGTGTGCACTGAACAGACGGAACAGAGGAAAAAGTGGTCCAAGTAAACCTGGGGACTGACCACTCAGGCCTCTGTGCCTCATAAACACTCCAGATACTAATCTAAGTGTAGAGAAGCAGTGCTGGGGATCAGTAGGACATCGGTTAGTTGTTTGGTGGGAATGAGTTGAAGGCCCATAGGGAAGGTTGGGAGATGTGTGAGGAGGAACCTTCTGGAGCCATGCAGGAGATGGTGGGACCGGGACTAAGGTGATAGCGTAGAGTTAGTGCCAGGTGATGAGTGTGGAGTTAGTGCTAGGAACTATTCTAGGTTTATGGGATTGTGGCCTCTATTCATTATCTTTTCTCTTGAGTTTCCACTGAAGTGAAAGGGAGTGACAATAAAACGAGTAATGAGATAATTATATGATATACAACAAATGGTGAATGACTTTGTTAGGACTGCCATGACAAAATACCATACGCTGGGTGGTTTAAGCAATCAAAGCATATTTTCTTAAAGTTCTCGAGGCTAGAAGTGCAAGGTCAGGGTATGGATGAATTTGGTTTCTCCCGAGTCCTCTCTCCCTGGCTTGCAGATGTTCACCTTCTCACTGTGTCCTCACATAGTCTTTCCTCTGTGTGTGGCCCTTGGTGTCTCTCTGTAAGAAATTTCCTTTTCTTATAAGCACACAGTCAGATTAGATCAGGGCCCACCCAGTGGCCTCATTAGAACTTAATCACTTTGTTTAAGTTTCCAAATATAGACACATCCTAAAGCACTGGGGATCAGGGCTTTAGCATGTGAATTTGGCAGGGGACACAATTTAACCCATAACAGATGGTAGACAGTGCTACGAAGAAATATAAAATAGAAATAGCAAGTGGTGGCTGGATTATAGATGCCTATAGGGACTATAGCTAACTGGTCCTGTTTGATGAGTTGGATTGGGAGACTGAAGATGCTTCCAGATCTTTGGCTTAAGGAAGGTGGTGGTGTAGGTCTGTGGAGAGCTGAGTGTGTGTGTGCTGCCTCCCGAAGTGCTGATTATGGGCCTGGGGGGCTGCTCGTGAGAGAAAATGTCATGCAATATGTAGTAGCTGTGATCTGTCCTTTATAGTGGAAGTATTTTCCCCAGCCCCCAGCCTTAGAGTTATTGTTTTTAATGCATTTTCTTTAGTTGCTCCGGTTTTTCATTCTCCAATTCATTCTTCAGTCTGTCCTTCAAAACATGTTTTGCCTTAATATATGACCAGAGTTTATCAAGAAGTGATTCCAGTAATTATTCCAAAGGTTTTGTGGGTGCATGAATGCCTGATTTGCAAGTTGTGTCTTGTATCAATCAGAACTGAAGTGACGACTTTACACGCTTTCCCGAAAGCTTCCAAAGCAGTGACTGACAGCCAGGAGTAATACTTATAGGGAGTTATTTTGTCTTAAAACCCGAAATCTCTCATGTATATTTTATAGCCCATTTAACATTTTTTTTGTTATTCCAAAAGTATTTTAGCCAATAGTTCCCATCGCTGCCGTTTTTCGGTGTTAGCCATTAGCAGGGCCTCTGCAGTTATAACTGTGTGCGATAAATGTCAGCACGATTTTCCACTCGGTTTCAAAGTTTCTAACTCCTAAGTTGACTTTTAGAATTTTTTAAATCATTTTTTCCCATCACAACCTTGAGGACCATGTGCCTGAGCCCACAGAGCATCTACAGCATGTTTCTAATGTATGTACTGAGCTTTATCTTCAATTGTGTGGCTTCCTACTGAGCTCTGTCAGGTTTAAAAGAGCGAGATAAAGGGCACAATAATATGTCTTCAGATGCTGCACTGACATCTGCAGGAGTTTAAATGTCACCAGCGGCAAGGCATTTTTGCCCCAAATGCACAGCTAGCTTTCTCTTAACCCCACTCTGTGGGACCCCATTTTTGGGGAAGCCACGTTTCAGAAGGGAGGAAGTGGGGGATGCTTAAAGCCACAGCTGATATCTGGCCTGGGTACGGAGGTCAGCTGTGTTTGGCTGAAGGTTGGTGAGAGCTGAAGCTGGTGGAATAATTTCTCTTCCAGAGCTGAAGAGGCTGGAGCTGGGATTGGGGGAGAAATAATGGAGAAAGTGTATGGCTGAAGAGGAGAGTGGAGTAGGGGAGAGGAGAAAGGGGTAAAAGAGGTTAGGAGCTCACAGAAGAGGGGCACACAGGTCTGGAACACGAGGAGGATCCCCAGAGAGAGGAATCTGCCATGAGGCATAGAGGAGTGAGAGACAGAGGGGAGAATGCCGAGCCAGAAGAGGTGGTTGAGATCATTTCCTAGGGCTTAAGGCTTACATTCACTCTCTCCCTAGGGTGTGGTGCACGGAGGGATGGGGGTATCACTGAACGGATGGGACCAGACAAAGCCAGGATAGCCAGCGGAAATTGTTCCATGTGACTTATGTAAGAGAGATATGTCAGGAACCACGAACAAATAGAGCCCGCCTGCTGATGTGTTTTGTTAAATTTGTGTGATGTTTAAAAAAAAAATCAATCATGATTTTAGATTGAGAGATTTCACATAAAATTTGGATTTCTCTTGAGAAACCCTGAGGAAAACACTCTCGCATTCCCTCCCTCCCTCCCTCTCCTGGTTTTCAGTAGCAGCTGCTCCCTTTCTGTGGGGGGCGAGGTCTCTGCCGTCCTCCCAGACACCCGTTCCCTCTTTGTTGCCCTCCCAATGCTGAGGCTGGGTACAGATCCCAGATATAATTGTGCTTGCATCACTGTTTTTCTTACATAGAGAAGTCTTTATTTTACTCATGTCTCTAGCACAAGTGGGAAAAGGAAAGATGGGGGCAAGGAGGTGGGGGTTTTGTGTTTGATTTACAACAGAACCACTTTATTAATTTACATAACTGTCTGGTTCTTGTAGGTGCACAGATTTGACATCTCTGCTATAAATTATCAGTGATTCCCCAGAATAGTAACACCAGAGGCCATTAAACATCTAAATTCTGAGTCAAGAAGGGAGGGAGGAGAGGGATGGAGGATGAAAGAATCAAGACAAAAGTCTGTTGCCGAGAAAGGAGAAGTGGGGAGGAGAGGAACCAGAAGCAAGCTGGGGACATTGATCTGGAGAAGATCTGTCTCTAATTGCACATATCCCAGAGCTGAATTATTTGTCCAGTGTCACAAAGGGTAGGGGAAGAGCATCTCTTTGTAAAACCTCACCCAAAGATTCCCAGCACTGTAGTCAATATTCTTTATACCCCTCTGCTGTGGGGTGTATGCAGCCCTCCAAACCTGTGGCAAAAACTGACCTACAAGGTTCACTCTATTCCCTCCCGAAGAATTGACTTGAGCTGATAGTTCCAAAAATGACTTCACAGAATTATACAGGAGAGGCCAAAGAAAACAATTTCAGGCAATCAAAGCAGCATGACATTTGTCAGGTTGGCTAGATGCAGGAATCTTAAACTCTGAGGAGTCCACCAAGAGTGGTCTTTCCTGGGCCTTGGACCCTGGATGCCAGTCTAGCCACAGGGTCTGGAAGGTAGAATGTGGGGTCATCATTAGTTTAAACGATGAGCTGTCATCATTAGTTTAAAAACCAGCAGAAGGTATCTATTTTCTCCCAGCAAGTGTGCATGATCACACTGAGGTCCTTGTTTTTTTTTTTTTTTTTTTCTGAAACCTAAATGGTGACACAG